GTTGGATGAACTGCTACCTTAGCATCTCCTCAGAGCTGGGCCAGCACATCAAGGGGGAATAGAATTACACAGAATCACAGAATCACAGAATCACCCGGGTTGGAAGGGACCTCAAGGATCATGTAGTTCCAACCCCCCTGCCTAGCAGGGCCACCAAACATACACATTCAGATCAGGTTGCCCAGGACCCCGTCCAACCTGGCCTTAAACACGTCCAAGGACGGGGCATCCACAACCTCCCTGGGCAGCCCGTTCCAGGGCCTAACCACTCTCCTAGTAAAGAACTTAATTGAATTAGAATTGAGTCCTGCCTTCAGCTCTGGCCTCGGCTTTCCAGGTGGGGTTCCTCCTCCAGCGAATGCAGCCATACACTAGTCCAGATGTTCAAAGAGGGACCAGCCTCCCACAGATCCTATGGGAAAGATGAACAAAAGGACAGTGAGCAACTACATGTCTTAAAATGTTCAGTTCAGAAGCCACCATGAGCTGTTTGCCCTGCATACGGTAGGAATCAAAGTATAATCTCAGTTGGGTTACAGGTGAATGAGCAGATGTTGTTGCCCTCAGGCAGCTTGAGGAGATACCATCACCTTCTGAACACAGTGTGTTAAAGATGAACCCTCTTTAAAATAGCTGATGACCTTCAGACTGCTAACTCTATGTAGGCCCAGCTGCTCGTTAGGGGTCAAGAAATGCCTGGTTAAAAGCTCCTGCCCCAAGCTTCCACACAGCATGGCCAAGTCCCCTGAGACTTGCTTGGCAGCCCAGCCACATGTGGAGCTGAATCACAGTACACATTCCTCCACTGGAGTCCTTTCAGTGTTAGGAGACGTCATGACCTGCCCCAATGGACATGGGAATAGTTTTCCCAGGAAACATGTTGACACATAGGAAGCAAGTTCTCTGCATCAGCCAATGCAGAGTCTTCAAATAGCAATAGGATGCATCCAAACTTTTATTATTATTATTTAATAAAGAAGTTATTGTGCCTTTTTTTTTTGAAACCACAATAGGAAAAGGGTAGATGTGGCACTGAGGGATATGGTTAGTGGACATGGTGGGGATAGGTTGATGGCTGGCCTAGATGGAAAAGATCTTGGCAGTCTTTTCCAAACTTAATGATTTTATGATTCTGTGAAAGAAAAAATCAAGGGTCTTTTTGCATCCCTCATCTCTTTAGACAGGACTTGCACATTGCTCCCAGCTGCTGAAAACCCTCACTAACCTAAACTAAGTAAAAATTTAAGAATCAAATGGAGTTGTAAACTGCTAGTTAGAAAAGAACTTAGCTTTCACACTTCGGTTAGCTTTTCATCAACCCTGTAAAATTCCCACTGCTTGCATGGACAGGAATGGGTAATATTCTTTGATAAATGAATAAAATATCAGGTAGGAAGCATTTTGTTTGCCTGGAACTTCATTATCTCCATCCCCACCCTCCTGAGCTCATATGAAGGCTGTGTGTCTGGGCTGGTGTGGTTTTCCGTTCTGGTTATTCTCTGTTTGGCTTGTATTAGCAGCTACTAGCATGGAGCCCTGGAGGTAGCTCAAAGTTGAAATTGTTTCCCCTTTCATCTTACATCATTATTTAAAGTGATATTATGGATTTTGTTCTGGGGCTACAAATTCATCTACATTACATACCCCACTGTAAATTTTTACAGTGAAATACAGAATCGGTAGCTTTTCTGAGAGAGACCAAAAAAAAAAAAAAGGCAATTCTAGCAATGGGAGAGGACAAGTTGGTAGAATATTAGGAAGAAATTATACTCCGAAAGAGTGGTGATGAAGTGGAACAGCTGCCCAAGGAGTGGTGGGGTCAATGGTCACCATCGTGAAGATATCCAAGAGCCACGGAGATGTGGCACTGAGGGATGTGGGCAGTGAGCATGGTGGGGTGGGCTGGGGTTGTGCTTGGGGATCATGGAGGTATCTTCCAACCTGAATGGTTTTATGATTCTGTGGTTCTACGAGTATTTTTCCACCTCAGCATAACAACCCTCAAAGCCAGAAACACATATTCTCCGTGATTCTGTTTTTGTTTTGCTCTCTTGTTTATTTTCATCTTAACATTAATTGCCCCATAAAGTCTGCTTGGTTTTATCAATTAGCTTTTGCAGTGAGAAAATATTTTAGCTCCTAATGCAGCGTAATGATTTTTTTTGCCTATTTGCTGAGGGGGTTATTAATAAATGTCCCCACTGGGGTTAGAACTCTGGTGCACTGGTGTTTGCTTTAGGGGAAATGAGGGATTGGAGGAAAATCCTAACCAAACGGAGCTGTAATTAGAGGGAAAGCAGCTGCAATTAGAACTATATGTTCGCCTACACCCATGGCACGTGGGGACAGACCTCCCCTTGACTCAGGCAGGGATGGCAGCAGCAGCTCTGCCATGGCAGATAGGGGAAAACTGTGGGTTTCCCCTTTGTTTCCAGATGTTGCACCATGCATTCAGCATATTTTCCAAGGAAAAGCCTTTCAAGGAAGATTTCTTCTCAGCAGAGAAGCCAACAGCATACTCCTCTGGGCCGGGATTTCACCCTGATGTCTCACTCCTTGCTATTTATTTATCCTGAACTGCTGCCACCAGCACTGCTGGGCTCTCTGGTCAGCTGCCAGCAGAGAAGGTCCTTCAAACACCGCATCCCAGTGCTCATCAGACGCTCTCACTGTTACCTGCAGAGTCTTCTCCTGTAGCTATAGGTTCTCCAGGGCTGCATGGCAAAGCCTGGCAGACCTCGTCCTCCTTCCTGCTGCCACAACGGGCTTTGTTCACCAAGGAGAGGAGCAGACGCTGTCCCTGCAGCTTTCCTGCCTCTTACAAATCTAAATTCATCGTTGCAGGGAAATGAGGCAGCTAATAGGCTGTCCTAGCAAAATCACAAGACACAAGTTTCTGGAAAGATGAATTTTCCAGCCTGAAGCCTGATGGGAATTCAGGCTGAGTTAAAACATTAGCGTTTGACTTTATCAATTAGCCGAACAACATTAAACACTTTCATACAGCAAGGACACATATGGAATAATAATAAAAAAGTGCAACAGATGTGCAGTGCTGCTTAATATGGCTTTTAGCTTAATTCATCTCATTGCAGAAAGCTGTAATTCTCATGGTTTCTGAACACCAGCGGCTGATGTAACATGTTGTCCTTCCCTCTTTTTTTGGCTAAAAAAAACCCCAACCAAAACAATTACTATTATAGCACTATTAGCTTTAAGGATTTACAGCTTTGCTTCTTTCACAGCAGAGATCAGAAGTAATATAATTTGTTCTGGGAAAACCTGACCGTGTCCTTACAAGCCTCTGCAGGGCACTCGTATTGATATTCTCTATAGGTTCCCCATACAGCCCTGCATAGGAAACAGGCTAGGAGCCGGCTGGTTACAGAGACCCATGTTTGAGTGCAATCTCTAATCACATCCAGAGAAAGCAGATAGAAAGCAGCAGCATGGTGCAAAGGCTTATCATAGAATGGAATATCATAGAATGGTTGGGTTGGAAGAGACCTTAAAGGTCATCTAGTTCCAACCCCTGCTGAGGTCCGGGTGCCTCCTACCAGGTCAGGCTGACTGGGGCCCCTTCCAGCCTAGCTATGGGCACCTCCAGGGATGGGGCATCCATAGCTTCTTGGGCAGTCTGCTCCAGTGCCTCACCACCCATTGAGTAAAGTTCTTAAATTCCCACCACTTAAATGTAATAGAGGAGGGGTTTAGACCATCATTGAACTGCATCCACAAAAAAGTAGATCTTGCCATCATCTCCAAAAGATGCAAGCTGTGCGAACACCAGAAAAGTCACCTATATGAGGATGGGTCTTAAGATTCCCTTTGGAAAACAACTGCTGTAGATAGAAAACCTGAAACACCGTGTGGAGCGTGAAGCAGGTATCCACCACCAGCACTGCTGGAGCAAGAAGAGCTGACCCTCAGTTGCTGTGTATGGCTCATACCCTATTGCTCTTCCCAGCAAAAGCATTGAGGCTTTGCATGGAGAAGGTGAGAACTCTTTTTGTACAAAACAAAGCCTTCTGACCTGGCAAAAGCAAAGACATTTCCACCAACTCCATGAGAGCTCATGCTCTGTTGGTATCTACTCTGATTCCTGGCAAGGCATCCACCACAACCTCTCCAAATCACCATAAAGCTGCCTATTCTTGAGTCAGCTGACCATTCAGTTTCCTTTTTTTCCTTCTTATCCTTTATGTGTGTGTGTAAGCATGTGTCTCTCCATGTATCCCTCTAATCACACACACTTTGTGTGCACAAGATGTACGTGTATTATCTTCAACACTCAGAGAAGCTTCTTATTTATCTGAAAAGTTGTTTTAAAGGAATATGTATTATAGGGTGGAAATAATAGTCACAGAATCATAGAATTGAGTTGATAGAGACCCTTTAAGGCCATCTGGACCAACCCCCATGCAGTGAACAGGGACACCCAAATCTCAATCCATTACTTCCATCCAGCCTTGGGTGTCTCCAGGGATGAAGCATCCACCACCTCTCTGGGCAACCTGAGCCAGTGCTGCACTTGTTGTAGAGAAACATTTTCCTTGTATCCTATTATACCTCCCCTCTTTTAGTTGGAAACCATTTCCCCTCATCCTGTCACAACAGCCCCCGCTGAGTCTGTTCCCTTCTTTCTCACAGCCCCCCTTTAGATACTGAAAGAACAGCATACATCCGTGCACGCACACAAACCAACACCTATGTCTTAGCGTGTATCTGTGTAACACGTGTACACACACAACAAACACGTGGTATGTTCATTAGCTAAATGCAGAACTCATGCTGTAGCCTTTCCTCCCTGTGCTGAAGGGCGTGAAATTAAGCGCAGGTGTTTTGAGTCACTTTTATTACATTAACAGCACCAGAAACAGCACAACCTATTGCGGCTGCTTTGACACGGCCGTTAATTTTCTCTTGCAGCTGTGGCAATTAGAAAGTGTACTTAATAGAGTGTCATGTTAATTGTTGCAGAGTTAACCAATTTCTCCATTTAATTGTCAATTGATTAACCTATTGAAATGGTAAGTGACTCAGTTTCCTTCCAGAACAAACAGCAGCTACGTATTGTAGTTCCATCCAGCTGGAGGGGGTACTCTGTGATTTGCTTAGGCTCAGTGTGCTGGTATTTTTCTACACCTCCCTGAGCTTTTAATTAGATGAGCCAATTTTACATGTATTTGTCTGTTGGAAAGGTTATCTGTGCTGGAGCTGACCTGCAGAGACAAGGTTGAGCCTAGCGGTCTTAATAGAAAAGGTTTTCAGCTATGACTGCCGTACTTGATTGCATTGTAATGGTAATTAACTTGAGACTTGGCCTCCCTCAATGTTTTTTTGTAGCTTTAACTATGCAATGAGATGTTTCCTCTGTCATATATATGCACTTATTAAGCTCTCATTGGATTCTAATATGCATGCAAATAGTCAAGAGTTTCTTAAGGCTAATACTACACTGTGTAGATTGTAGTGCCATTAAGTCACTACAAAGATGTAGCCCGCAGCAAACTTATAAGGCTCCTCTTCCTGTGAGTGTAGGCGAGGCTTGATTTCTCATTTTTGTGCTTTGCTTAAACCTAAAGGAGGAAGAATTCCCTCTACGTAGTTTCGTTGCCTTTTAACCTGAAGGATACTTCGCACGACAGCAAGCTTTAAGGCTTTATTCTTACAGAACCATCCTAAAAGCGCTCTTGTGCTCTACAAGGAAGATTGCAACGTTCTCAATTCCAAGTCGGTTTGTAATCCATCCCCACCCCTACTCCTTGCTCCGTGTGGCCCGTTTGAAAGCCCCCGGTATATCCTGTGTTTCCGCATGTTCTTTTACAGTACGGCGCTGTCATTTAATTACGAGACAATCCACCACAACTGAGCAAGCATTTCCATCATTGATAATGTTGGTAGCAGGCAACTGAGACAAAATGATTACAAACCTATGTTGCGCTCAATAGTCCTTTAGAGGATTTCTCTCTTAATAGCGCTGCCTCATTCATGTTTGGTTCAGTACATTTGTTCTTTAAAAAAGGCATAGATTAGAAGAGTTTCAGGGTAGGTTAATAACTCAACTGAAAATGGCTGCTCGCATTGTCAAAGTCTGTTCCTGCAGTTGCCTGGTGCTTTCTTCAGTTCTTCCACACTGCAGCTTTGGCCCAGTTGGTAAACAGCTTAAGTCCAGACATCTTTTCATTCTCTGCGCAGTGGATTGAAATAAAAATGCATATAAGTGGCGACTGACTGGCGCTGGCCTGACAATAGCCTGTAACATTATGCAAGGGTATTTACATAGGAATAAGGCCTTGGTAAAGAAGACAGGGGCAATTAATGACTAGGGCCACACATATAAGGAAAGTTTGTCCAATCCTTTCTTCAATAAAGATCTTTTGTAAAGTGCTATGGAAACTCATGGAGGCCCCCAAACAGATTAGGAGTGGGACTTTTGTGGTATGTTTTTTGTTGTGTTTTTGTTGGTTTTTTTTTTTTTTTTTTTTTTTTTTTTTAACTTGAAGCTAAAAGGGCCAAATTTTGTAAAGGTAAAATGTAATTCTTCTGCAGTTTAGATTTTTTTTATTTTTTTTTTCCTATTGTGACTCCCCCACACCTTTTCTTTTTTCCCTACAGGAACCAGTTGAGTGCAGCTACTTTCATAAGAGGAAGCACAGGGGAAAAAGAAAGCAAGCAAGTAGTGTACCTCCACCAGGGAGCACGGTGGAGGCACAGGGCTTGTTGGGGACCCGTCATGAAGCTTGACTCCTTCTGCTCACACAGGTTTGGCATTTAAGCTAATTTGTAAGCATTTAGGGCCTGACTCTGATCTCCCTTTCACCGCTCACTGGAGCTGTCAAAGCACTTCCCAGCAGAAGTAAGGAAGGGACCCTGCCAGCTGGATTTGTCCCTTTCTCCACTCTTTTGTCCTGGTGGATTTGGGCTTAAGTAATTCTGACAAAACAAGGACCCCCGTGTCCTAGCATGGGTTGTGTTGCTGATAGTGGAGCATCTTCAGGGATGTAGAATCCTTCCAGATGGGATGCCCTCATCAAGGCTGACATATAGGGGAGGGTTTACACACTTTACTTTTCCACCTGTAGGGCTCAGCTCAAGGCTTGTGGATACCCATTCTATCTCCCTAGGGGACACCAGCCCAAATCCTAGTCAATGAGGCCTATTCCAATAGCCAACGAGGCCTACTCCAGTGAGTCTCAGGCTTCAGACTTGCACGGCTCTGCTGAGGACCTCATTTTTCCATGGGTGGCCATGGCACATCTGTTAATGGCAACTTGAACACGTCCACAGCAGTTAAGCAGTTTCACTTTCAGGCTCAGATGTTGGTGTTCAAAGACTTTGTTCTTATTCCGATGACTGATAGAGGACCTCTGTTTGGGTTGATGCTGTAGTCTTTTAAGTATGCTTTCCAGAAAGCTGTAAGTCTCTATTTTGAGAGCAGAGCAGAGATCCTTCTGTTGAACCCATCGTATATATTCAAGAAGACAACACTTTGGTGGACATCAACACATTGGTAAGCATCAATGAGGAAAGCCTCAATGATTTTTCTATAGTTCTCCCAAGTTTGAAGCCATTTGATGATCTGCTTGCTGAATCTTTTTCCTCTTAAGTGATTTTTATAGCAGAATATAACTCAAGAGAAAAATATACTTCCTGGGAAGTATATTCTTCCAGTTATGCCACTTTCTTTATTCAGAATTAAATTAAAAGATCAACACTTCCATGGAAATTAATTCCTGAAATGCTTTCTGGACACTGAAGAGGGGGAGACAAATGTTAATAACACAAATGTGTGATTCCTGTGAGAGGAGTGTGGATGCAGCAGAGAATGTGATTCTACTTCAGCCCTGGAAAGCTGCAGAAATCAATGCTTCATTCAAGGCTATTGATCAGTACTAAATTAATTAGACTTCAAGGCTTATGGCAGTTGATAAGACAACTTGTTAATTTAGTCAATGATAGTGTTTTCCCTAAAGCAGCAAATACCCTCTTTCTCAGAAAAGACATTTCCAGCACTTGCTACCCAATGTTTTTCCCCCTCTTTTTTTTTTTTTTTTAATTAAAAAAAAAAAATTCACTTTTAAATTAAGATAAGGATTGGATGGGGAGATGCTTCCATCTACCCCCATTTGCCTTCCTTTGCTCTAACGTTGGAGCGGGATGTTGATAACATCTGATGTAATTTAATAGGATGGCAGCATAACATTTAGCTTCTTCGACCCCGGCCCATTGACGGCGACGTTCATTTGGGAAAGCTGCTGGGGGAGGAGGAGGAGGGAGCAGACCCACTTTCTAACTCCGTTTTTAAAATGGCAAACCCAGAGTTCCTGCTTCCCAGGCAAGGAGGATGCTTGTGGCAGCTGACAAAGGCATGGGCAGTGCTGGTGCTGCAAGCCATGAATGAGACAAGGTATCCCAGAATACCCCGGACATCGGGCCATACTTCCTGCTGGCTGGGAAGGACAAAAGGACAAAGCTGAAGGAGTGCCGGGGTCCCACCACCAGCTCTTGGAGGCACCAGTCTGCTACCAACAGCACTCCAACCCTCGGAGAATGCTAATAAGCCACTGAAGAGCTCAGCTTTCCTGCCATAATTCTATAGCGCCGTCGAGGACCCCATAGTGTTCGCTAAATAAAGACAACTAATTGAGAATTTTTTGCACATTTTGCTCTGTGGACTTGTTGTTCAGGCGGTTCGTTGGGGAGAATGTCCCCCTACTGACAACAGGGGCTGATTGTTTTGGCAGCCGCCGGGTTAGCGCGAGTTCCCGGCTCTGGGGCTGACTTTCCAAGTATGACAAAAATGTTTAATTTTGGATTTTTTTTATTTTTTTTTTTTTTTAATTATGTGGCTGAGAATTATTTTGGTGTTGTGGAGAATAGGCCGTCTGGTGCTCATGTTAAAAAAAAAAAAAAAAAGAATATTGCTGGCACGGACTCTCAGAATTAAACCTTTGGTCTTTCTCCTTTATTTTCTCTCTCTCACTCTTTTTCCTTCTCTCTCTCTTTTTGCTGGTTTTTGGTGTTTTTTTTTTTTTTTTTTTTTTTAAACTGTATTTTCTATGGTGAGGCCTACATTTTTGTGTCTGCAGGTGACACTTTGATTGAAACTAAAATTAATAAATCAGCTGAAAAGCTCACACCTACAGCTCACAGCAGGGCCTTGAAAACACGGTTATAAAGGGAGCTTTATGCCCTTGTGTAAAGAAGGAATAAATTACAGAAGCACTTGTTGCCCTTGGACTCGATTTTGCTTTGCAGCCTGGTATCTTATTTTTGGAGCTTATTGTTAATCAACAGGTTCCTTGTAGGTTTAGCAGGTGACTTTGCTATTAATCTCCTATTTGACCACTATAGCATATTAATGAGGTAGGATTCTGGATGTGGCTATGTCTCCAGCACAAGGAATTAGTTTAAAAGGTGCACTCTTTACTCAATTGCCCACAGTTAACGATGCTGCGGCCCAAATGCAAAGTAGCATTTTCTGCAGCTTGTGTAGCATTAAGAGTGTTTTACTAACATTATGTTCCTCACTGTGCTTTTCTTCTGTTGTATACTTATTTCTTCTCCGTGGAGGGCTATTATCAGGCTTACCGGTCCTTCCTTGTTGCTGTGTTTTTGGGGGCTTTCTTCATTTCGCATTCCCCTAACAAAATAATGAAATTACATATAAATGACAAAATGATATCCTTGCTTATTAATGCGCACCTTGGTTTTAATTAAACAATTTTGGTGGGCTTGGAAGGACCGTTGGATTTAAATGAAACGCTCAGCTCAACATTTCTCTTCAAAACTAGCTTAATAAATATCATTATAAAGTGCCGGAATTCAATCAGCCCCGTTTCACCTTGTGTTTTGGGTCTGATTTAAGCTTGAAGTGAGGATACCTATAGGGGTAGTTAAAGAACATAAAGAAAAGCTGAGGATTTAAGTCTTAAATTTGTAATTACAAGGATCTGCCGAAATACATAATATTATGAGACGGGCTACAAAACACCCCGGTGGAAACAGCAGCTTTGTTGTAATACAGTAATTTCCACATTCCAAGAAACGTGCTCTGCCATAGACGGTTATTATCGGTGTTCCCTTTCATAACTTTCAGACATGTGGTCTACCTCCCAAACAGATCCATTTTCTGATTTAAATCAGAACTGCCAGGCTTATGCACGCAGATTCTCGGCATTTTCTTAACAAGGACTCTTGCACTCAACAGCATATTTGTGTCAGGTTAGATGTCAGCCTGGAGTTTTAGCCTGAACCGTAAAATATCTGTCTTCTGTGGATTAAGGTCAAAGTTATCCAGTTACTTTAGCTTGGTATTTTGGTATTCCTTTTCTTTCTTCTTTTTTAATTGGGTTATACATATTATAAAAAAGGACAGGGGGAATAAGATCTGACGGTGAGTGTATTTAGGAGCAAGAAACACCAGTATTGCTGATCACTTTACCTTTGCCTCACAACAACACCCGCAGAAGGAGATGTACTGCTCACATTCAAAGTAACAACAAAACGTGTATCTATATTTTCAGAAATGAATGTCAATTTATGGCATTGCAGGGCACTCTGACAAGAGCTGGCTTCTCCATCGACCCAAAGTGCTGTGCTGGAGCGAAGCATCTCAGTGGGGCAGCCAGACAAGCTTGGTGGCTTTGGGAAGAACCTCAGCGGGGACAAATTATGGGGAAAACACAAACTTCATTGTCAGACCTTGTAGAACCTTTGGCTCAGAGCGGGTGGGATGAAGGCTTGAGGTGAAATGGACACTGGCTCAGGAGTCTGGATGTGCCCAGAGGTGCTCCCAAGGCACGATGCACACAGAGCCCACTGTCCCCCAGTGTGCCCCAGGCAGAGCAAACAGGCTCAAGTGGGACACACACCACCCAACTCCTTCATTCGTTAAAGCTAACGTGACATTTCCCTATCACAGGCCGACAACTCAACAAACTTCGCTTGGAAGAGGGGGGAAAAAAAAGAAAAGAGTTTTTCAGCTCTGAGAATTCATGCAGTTATAACCACTGACTTGATTTTTCTTCCTTCCTTTTTTTTTCCTTTTTTTTTTAAACAGTTTTGTTGCACTTCGTTCAGATATTCTGCACTGCAGCCCAGTTTGTGAGGGCTCAAGGAATAGTGCATTTTTACTGCTCAGGCACAGACCCTATACATCAGGATTTGTCATTAAAGCACTGGCAAGTCCTTCACTGAAGTGGTGCGAGCAGGGGCTGCTGTAATGCCTATTTCTAAGCAGGAACAGTTACTGCAACGTAGTTTGGGAGCCCTTCCACTCCCCAGCCCCCATCTCCCCCAACTACTTACAGCACAAGGAGGTTTGAGCTTATTTTGTCTTTTCACAACTTAGCAAGATCAGACACATTTCTGCAATGCATATGCAGATTTTACCTCTTGTTACTTTCTCTAATGAGCTTTCACTTAATCAGTTTGACAGTAGCCTTTCTTCCTTTTTGCTTCGTATCCTCTAGGAAAGTATTCAGGAAAAAGTGTTAACAGTTTCAAGGGGTATTAGCAAAATGGAATGGCGGCACAGCCAAACTTAGGAAGAGAGCAGGAGGAAGGAAAAAAAAAAAGAAGTTAAAATCTGGAATGTGGATTTAACAAGAATGTATGTCTAGGAAATGAGCAGGACTGCAGACATCACTTTTATTTCCTTGCAAAGCATTTTAAAAGATAGCAATTGTTTGTAGAGAAATCCTGATCTTATGTAGTTATGTGGACTAAAGAAAAAAGCACTTTCCCTGATAAAATGTAAACCTTGTGAAAATAAAAGTGTCTTCTGCAGTGAGCTACTGAGTGGTGCCCTAGCTATAGCCTGATGTCAGGACAGGGATGCGGGATGCCCCATTGACCTGCAGAGCCATGGCAAGGCCTGTACAGAGCCCCATCAATCCTACACACCTGGGTTATCAAAGCCCTTGGGAATTTGTTATATGTCCCTGTGTGGGCTGAGCTGGAGGGGAACCTGACCTTCTCCAAAAAGTGTTGGGGTTTGGGCAAAACCATGCTGGGGAATTGCCACCAACATGGAGATATTGCATCTGGGTGAGCCAGTCAGTACTTACGCACTCAGTGTCACCACTAAGCTGTGTCAAGGCCAAGGGCATCTCAGGCATTAAATTCGTAATAGCAGAGTGACCAAGGATTGATGACACATGCTAACAAGGAACACGACCTTTTAGCCAAGGCTTTTAGGAGAGTCACAGGATCTGACCACATGAAGGGAAGGGGAATGCACCAAAGGAAAAAGTTTTCCTTTGTTTGCATGGGGGATTCATAATGCAGTGGAGGGTACAGCCTTCACCCCTGGGTTCTCATCTCTCATCCACTAACACCAGTGGTTCTCAGCTAAAAAAACCTCACCAAATTATTACTGAGGTGGAGAAAGAAATAGACAGTGGTGTTGCCACATGGAAATTCTCCTTACATTCAGTCTGACAATACCAAAAGTGAAGTACTGGTGATGCACTGGGACAGGCTGTTCAGGGAGTTGATGCTGTCGCCATCCCTGGAGGTGTTCAAGAAAAGGGTAGATGTGGCACTGAGTAACATGCTCTAGAGTGGTCACAGCCATGGGCTGATGGTTGGACTGGACGGTCTTGTTGGTCTTTCCAACCTTAGTGATTCTATGATTCTATGAGAAGGAAGCTTGTGTTGGATGTGATTATCAACGTGCTATATATGATTTGCCCCACAGCTGGACCAAGCTGCTATCACCCTTTAGAAAGAAAATTGGTAAGAAGACACGAATAATTATCTCTTGACACAATCTAGTTTTCAGCATCGTTGCCTGCAAACTGATTGTACCCCAATAAATGCTCCAAGTGCCTGCTGCGGGAAGCAGGGTGCTAATTTCCACACTGTGGCATCATTTTGCCCAGTTATAAATGTGGTATTCAGGCTGCACGTCCTTATCAGGAGAAGGAACACAGCCCTTGGAGCTCGACCTTGCAAGCCCACAGAGCCCCTGGAGACACATGGAGCCCAGAGAGGCTTTAGCTGGGCTTTGCTTTCCTGACACTGTTTCCATCCCAGAGAGGGGACCTCACTGCTGTGGAGCCAGTGCATGAACTCCAACTTGACTTTTCCAAAATTGTCCCTTTCATATATTTTTTTTAACATCTTATGTTTAAGCCGGGGTCCAAAACCTTTAAATCAGAGGCAATTTTGTTTTCCTAGCTGTCAGCAATATTTTGGCTATTTTAAGAATGTAGGACAGGGTTAAGGATTAGTACCAGCATTTCTTTTCTGTGTATCAGAGCTGCTTAGCAGTAATTAATTAGGACATTGGGTTTTGTACTCTTGGTTCAGGTCATTTGCCTATGAGCAGCTCAAGCCTTTTACAAAGGCACGCTGCATATGTTTCTGGGTACTTTTTTGAGAGAAGATTTAAATTGGCCAGATGAATAATACTTTGCTACAAGTGTTTTGCCCTAGGCAAAAAAGGTTTTCTTCATATTATCATTGCCCGGAGCTGGAATCCTCAAGCTTGATGTGACTGGTGTTATACTGTCACATGGCAATGATGTAAGAACAGGAGCTCTCTGTGTCAGACAAATCTGGATTTAGGGGAATTATAGCAGATGTTGCAAAATGGCAACAGTTTAGTAAGTTCCTTTCATCCCGCAGTTGGGAGGCAGGTCCACAAAGTGC